AAACCATTAGTTTTAATCTGGCAGTTGCAGAATTGAAAAATTAGCCATCCTCATGGTGCACAGTGAATAACGTGAAAGGAAAGTTCTTTAATAATTTTTTTGATTTTGATGTACATTTATAGAAAGCATCAGAGAGTGAAGAAAGAAAACCATCCTTCTAAACTTTAAATCTTTAATCCATTACCTGAAACCTCAAATTCTTAAACCCTTATTTAGCTTTGTGTAGCTGTACTAGAAGGTTGAAGGCATGCAACCTTGAGCTCATTAAGGCTGGTGTTGGAATTTTGGTGCATCTGTGAACTCTGTGGGCATTGCTATATATTGCAGTCACCCCAGACTATAGCAACTTCTATATATTGTAGTTATCGGGTTAATGTTATAAATGCAGGTGATGTTTTGCAATCAGATGAGAACCTTCATGAGGGACTGATAGAGAAATTTGTCAAAAGTATCTTTAGGATGAGGTTTTCATTTGCAAAACTACTAAGCTCTATTCTCATTTTGGACATATTTCACGTATGGTGCGGTGGTGATTGACTTGATGTATGGTACATTGCATGTGAGATGCCATTTGAAAGCAAACATCCAGGAATATATGAAACCATGCAGACTACGTGTGGCATATGCAACGATGTGCCATGCCCTCTGTTTGAAAGGTTTCATAAATTTCCAGATGTTTGTTTTCAAATAGCATGGCATGTGCATTGTACCAGCTTGGTGTGAAAGCGGCTATAGATTGGAAAGAACAGTACAACCATTTTATTCTTATAAATACTAATTACCTATGTGTATGTCATTTCAGTCAGGCAAGTACAGGAGCTTTCTTTTATTTTTAGATGACTAAAATATATACATGGCATGAAGTATCATTGACCCAATATCATCAGGAACATGTAATGTTCACTATAGTCTTGTTTTTTTTGTAATGTGATTATACATAGCTCCACAAGTGCTCAGCCATAAAGGTGTCAATTAGTAGACCTATGTCACCTCATCTAACTTCCTCTCATTGAATTTTCAAGATTTAAAAAAATTCAGGAAGAGGGTAAGCAGGTTTGATAGGTAGCACCAATAATTGACTCATTGGTGACCTAAACTTTATGGAGCCATCTGTGAGTAAATACAACTACTAAACTTAACTCAGTGGGTATGAAATGTACATAAATGCCATCTTTGTCTGCATTGCATTAATTTGCAATAAGCTATTTGTTACTTTTTCGGTTGATAGAGAAGTATTGGTATTCAGTACTAAACCTGAACATTGTACTTCAGCTTACTGGGATAACCTTAAGCCCTTTTAAACCTTGCTAACCTTCACATACTGAGAACCAGGTCAGCTAGAGTTAGGCAATAGCTACCTTGCAAAACTATTAAAATGATCATATGATTTATAAAAAAAACTTTCCAGCAAATATAGGGAAATGGCTGTGTAAATTTATGTGCTTGTATGTTTGTAGTCTTATCATCTTTGGCTCTTACAACAGATCATTTACCCCGTCATCAATGCAATGGCATCCTAAATTGTCATATGAATCTTCCTTTGATTCCCAGTCACAGTCCTATTTCACTTTTATATTATCTTTATCAGTTTCTGACATTGCACTGTAAAATTATGTTCAGTGTACTGCATTTCCCCATTTATGTCTAGGCTGAGTAATCAACAAACAAAATCCCATGTGGAATACCTTATTTTGCTCTGTGGCTACAATTGCAGACCCAGAGCAGGCCCATAAAGCAAGTTGAAACACACAAGATGTTTGGAAGTTATTTCCATTGATCTCTTAGCATGTCATTGTCTTTAAATATCTGTGTACTTTCACTTTGATAAAGAAGGGGCTGTTATCAAAATTTCTTCTTCCCCTCATTTGCTAGTTGCAGATCTATTAATGGGAAATACTTTTGGAAGTGTGTTATACATTTTTTATGTATTTCAGGTCTGGAGCTGCCCCAACACTGAGCCAGCCTGCAGGCAGCATACCACCATGGTCTATTTATGCAGAAGAGGCTCACCTTATGGTGATGCGCCTGAGGGAGGAGAAGGAACAGGAAATGAAGAAACTCAACAATGAGTGGCACAAGAAGATGGAGACACGTGAGGAAGAGGTGAGAATTGTGAGCTGTTATAGGGTGTTATAAATTATTTAGAATGATAGGAAATGGGATAATAAAGATCTTTTTTACTTGACAGTCAGTGATAATCTAAAAGAGCTGTCCTGTCCATGGTTTAGTAGTTATGTTATTAGGTGAGCTGTTGTTGAATATTCTGAGGACGTAAATCACCTGATGCTAAAAGAGACATTACTGAAATTGTTTCTTCATATTCTTCAGTTTACAAAAATAGCTCGACTCTCGGAAGAACAAGTTACAACTTCCCTCAAGGAAGTGGAAAATCTCTTCATGAAGGCAACCTGCTCACCAGTCTGCCAGAACCACCAGGAAGCTGTCATGAACTGCTACAATGACCATCCCCAGCAGTCACTGCGATGTGCTCGAGAAGTGGAGCAATTCACCCAATGTGTTGACTTATCACGCCTTGTAAGTTTTAGTTATTTTGTGAATATATATTGATGATTTTTTTGTTGCTGCAAATTAAATATGATCATACTTTGAGAAATATTCCTACACTAACACCAACATTTTTCTTTTGTTTTCAGCAATCTGTTCTGAGGCCAAAAGCTAACTAATTGTATATGGAAATTATGTATGAAACTCTAGTGTAATTATTTTCTCAATGGATATGTAATGTTAATGCTTTTCTAGCATCGTTAATAATTGTACAGTTATAAGGAGGTGTAAATGTTTTCAGAGGATTAAGGGAAATTCTCTATGTACATTACCCAAAAGATTTTATTACATAAAGTATGTACAAAATACCAGAACGTTTCAAGTTCCCTTCCTTTACAAGTATTCCCTATCCCTTGGTGGCTGCTTTTTCGTAAATCGTTTCCCAGGCCTGAAAATAAATAGGTCAAATGTATATAGAATTTGCAATTGCAATAAATTTTGACTTGATTCTAGTGTGTTCATATGACATAACATTTATAAGCAGTGTTTCATGGCAAAAAGTAATAATGCATAATGACAAAGACCTCTATAGTAATTAAAACCTTATAGCTTACCTGGGGTACCATGGGTGTTTAGTAGTGAAAGTGAGTTCTCGAAGTTCCTTGTTGATGAAGAAAGGATGCTGTCGTCTGAATAATTGCTTCAACTCTTTTTTGTTTTGAACCTTCAATACGGAGTCTGACTCCTCAGCTGTTTCTGGAAGTGGCTGTTTTACAAACAGTATTTTAATGGGAGATCATGGAATTATAAATCCTCTAGGTGATTCTTGTGAGAGGATGAATTTATATTTCTCAATCCAGTCACCAACTTATCAACAAATTGATCTACATGTGAATGAAAGAAAAGAGGGCTTTCAATAACTTTAAATTATTTCAGTTCTACTAACTCTGCCTTACCCTAGTCATATGATAAGGAACCTTTGGTTCAGGATGCCAGCAAACAATGGTGCTCCCATCGTCTGTTACAACCACAGCTTCTTCTCTACCATTAGTATTTGACATCTGGCGGCAACTGTTTGATATAAGCAGCTTCTCTGTAAAAGAGCAAAAGAAAAATCACAAATGTCTATATTATGTTTACATTTAAGTATACATGAAAGTCAAACAGGTCATCACACACCAATCAAATAACTTTTTTTTTTGTCTCCATTCCTTAATCCTTAGTACTTCAGTCTTGCACCCCTATGAAGTGTTCCTTTAAATCTTGCTCTTGCATTAGTAAATGTTAAACATTTGAATGTGATAAAGTCAAATCTCATGATGATGAAATGATGATAATAATAATGATGATGCTAATGACAATAATAAAAATAATAATAATATTATATTATATATTATGGTTATTATCATCATCATCAGTATGATGACAATGATAAATATAAAATAATAATAATATTATTATGATTATCATCATCATCATCATCATCATAATAGTAGTGGTGGTGGTGATGATGGCAGTTATTGTTTTAATAATGATAATATAATATATTATTAATAATGCTGATCATAATAATACAATAATAGAAAAAATAAACCATATGCAGTTGCAATGCTGAGGTGGGGGGGTGAAGGATTCATTCCCGCAGATCCATGATGTAGGGGGCTAGGGGAGCTTTATATTTATTTATTTAATTTTTATTTTATTATTTTTTTCAAGTCTCTGCGCTGAGTAGTACTATAATATATATACAAATTCTTGCTAAAGATGTGGTAGTTTAGTGTACGGTCAATGCAAATGTTTGATCTATATCATACACACAAATATATGTACTTGTGTACATACATAAGCCTAGCTACTCAAGGGAAAATATTAATTAAAAAAGAAGACAAGTTTTTCCTAACAATATTTTTGGCCACAGATATATATGTAGTTCAAGTTGCTAGATGCAATTTTTAATGATTCTAAAAAGAAAACATTAGATCCAATTTGGCAAACAGCTTTGGAGTTGGGGGGGGGGGGGTTATAGAGGCAACCTTATTTTTCACATTATCTTTTCAAATAATTCCGTTGTTGAGCATTATCATGATAAAAATTACTGTATTCTACTAGGGCCAACACTACAACATCAACAACTGTCCCTGGAACAGGTTTGTAGCTAAATAAACTAAGGTCACTCTGTACTTTCGCTCCTTTCACCTTTTGTGGACTTCCATAACTTGCAATAGGCTGTATATGAATGACTGAGCTAAAGGAAAAAAGGGCAAGGCAAAATTAGGTGAGTCAAGGTTAGATCCGTGACCTGGAAGCTTCTCTCAGAGCACCAATGGGTCGGACATCAAGGAGGATGTGTTTGTGCGAGTGTAGAAGTGTGAGCATGGGAGCCAGTAATTGAGAGTAGAATGTGCAGAATATGCTGAAGTGTAGCAGTGTATGTATGCATTGAATGAATGAGTATTGTGAGGTTAAATGAGTTTAACCCACTTACGATGGGTGTCCCACATATGAGACACCCGGAAAAGTAAACATGTACTGTCGCTAGTGGATTAATATTTCAGTCTCGTCATCACTCACATTCAAAATCATTATTCACATCACTGTCTTAGTCAAAGTATTTCTGGTATTTTTAGCAGCACACACACACTATGTAGCTAAAGTTCCTGAGATAAAACAGCCTTTACTGTTTAAATAGGTTACTAGTTACTTTATTTAAGATCATATAAGCCACCCTACTATGATCCCTCTGAATTTTAAGCAATGTTTTTTTTTTTATTACATTTTTTAGTGAAAACTGTATAAAATTAATTAACTCTGTCCTGTTTTTCATTTTGATCAAATTCATATCAAAAAGCTCAAAAAGGATTAAAATATTGATGATAAATATATATTTTTTCAAAGCAGTTTATTCCTTTATTTTACGCATGTCATATGGGTACAGTCATCTTCAAAATCTTGCATTTATATATCCATAGGATATATAAATTTTACCCTAAAAACGCAATGTGGAAAAACCTTAGGATGTTAGACTAAGAAAATATATGTACAAGCCTTAACAAAATATTTCAAGTCATTCAGTGAGAATAAGTGAAAGTTACACTTTCATATCAATGTATATTTTCTAATGTATTCTCTTTGTTATATGAAAAGGAATAATCTATATAATTACACCATCGTTCGAGCAAATACTAGACTAACATAACGATTCTTTGAAGTCTATGGGACTTGTGGTACTTTTTATAAAATTATTAGAATTGTTAATATAAGAAAATCTGCTGTAATTATGCCATCTTTCAAGCTATCATGGGTCTTCCTTATTCTGTCTGGAAAATACATGGAAATTTTCTTTTCTAGCAATATTTAGAGGAATAAAGCCATTATCAGGACACAGTAATTAGTAAGAATGAAGCAATGAAGCTCATCATCTACTAACAAACTGAAATTCCATGCCTAATCTTTATTCCACAATTGACCTTCAAAACAAGATAAATGCATCACATAAAAGCAAAAATACACCAATAGAAAACTAATTAGTAAATAATGTAAGTTTTATTCCCCAAAACCTTGAAATACCTACATACATATAAACATACATAATTAGAAGAAAATAAATGCCATTTTCCACTGGAAAGGGGAATTTAAAAAACGGAAGTGCCCCAAAATAAATTTATAACAAGAAATATTTGAAATACATAATTTTCCATAAATCAATGGGTGGTAAATTTCTCATTCTTCACTTTAGTTCTGACTGGTAAGAACTAAATATTTCAATATGGTTAATAACCAATAACTAACACCAGCAGTTTGTCTTTGTTGGTAATACTGTCTTATAAAAAAAAAAAATAAAAAAAATGAACAATTAAGAATAAAAATAAAATCATAACTGCTAATCAACATCATTTTAAAAAATACTTTTGGTAAAATTTCACTCTAACAAATGACTCCCAAACAAAATTCACAGTCCCTAAACTGATGAGTGAGAATGAATCGAGTTCATTTTTTATTGCAAACCTGTTCTCTGGTGATAATCAAGAACAGGCCCCGTCATCAAAGGGTTAAAATATAGCATACCTTGACCTCCCATACTATAACCTAAGCTATTACAAGATGAATGCGATAGCCTCCGCACCTGTCGAAACTCTGCCAAGGGCCAACAATCATCACATGTATTCTCGCACGATAAAAACGGCCGATCTCCCAAACAAATACCCAGGCTGAGCTCTTCCTAGACTATGGAGGTTGATGGCCTTTGCCAGACCGCTGAAGGCAAGGCAACTCGTGGATTTTAAGACCGCAAACCCAATCGCATTATAATACAAAGCTCACCTTTCCTTAGCCAATGCGATTTTTTTTGCGTGCTCTTTCCCGTATCTCCTTTATTTTTGATTTGCGCAACTTTTGCCATAGATGAAAAAGGTCTTATTTTACGTCAAGGTAACCATTCCATATCTTTTTTTTACTCAATTCCCGATTGCTATCCACTGAAAATTTTCCCTCAAAGGCATTATAATACAAAGCTCACGTTTCCTGAGCCAATGCGATTTACTTTGCAACATTTACAAAAAAAAAAAAAAAAAAGAAAAAATAGACAAATTGTAGGCTTAAAGATCCTAAATGGAAACAGAACAGACAAGAAACGGATTGCTGTCACGTATCTTTACTTGCCCCAAGAAAGGCTCTAGTGAAAGAAACACAACACTGATCATAAACAAGAAAATGAAAAAAATAAAACTTAAAATCTCGAAATTCTTAAAAAAAAAAAATTTACGTCGAAGAGCCCAAACCCTGGCTCCTTCATTACGGACTTTTAACACGCTTACTCTTCTTTAAATATACAAATCACACTATAACTTACCCGCATTAGCAAACAGAGCCTTGAAAATGGTCGTTCTTGAGGAAAATAACGCCATGACAGGGGAAATAACGGGAAAAATAACGCCAGCGGCTTCTGCCTCCGCTCCGTGTTGTTACAGACGACAAATATTCTTGTTATGTATTTGTCTGTTTTAGGCTTATTTTTATTGAATTTTCATTTCCATTTCACTAAGCGGTATATCTTTTAAACAAATATCGGGATTTTTATTCAATTTAGCTATCATTATTCGTCGAGATATCTTCACTTTTTATAGGGAATTATTTGCCAACATATAGTCCACAAACTGCATAAGTAAAAATAATCTTGCAACATTTACTAAAGATGCATAATTTTAAAGTACCAAAGAATAACTGGAATGAAATATATATATAAAAGATTCGGCCAGCCTCCAAAAAGACATACTAAAAAAAAATTGCTCAAATCTCACCCAGAACAACAGAACGGAACAAGGAATGAAAAAATAGCTACGAATAAATAAAAGAAAGAACAACTAGAAATGAAAGAGAATAATAATAATAGATGAAAGGAAAGAGCAAATGAAAAAAATACAGGAAAGAATGAACAAGAGAACAACAACAATAATAAATAAAAAAGAAAAAAAGAAAAAAAGCGAAATAACTACAAATTTGAAAAAAATAATAATAACGACATGAAATAAAGCAAATAACTAACAACAAAAACAAAGCCATAGAACAAGAACAACAACAAGAAACAGAACAACAGAACAAGAAATTCCGTCCGGAAACATAACGAACGAGAAGACGACAGAGGAGAGGATTGTTTACATGACTTTTATTACACTTTTTTTCCTAAATTATTAAGGTAAAGTTGTACGTAACATTTTGAGGAAAGTTTCGAGGTGTAGAGTGTGTCAGTCCGGTGTTGTCTGAGGGAGAATTAACCTTCTGGTTAACGAAGGAGAAGGAAAGTAGAAGAGAGAAAGAAAGAGAGAGAGAGAGACGGATCAGCTGTTTAGGGGGGCTGTTGTATGTGTTATTGCTGTCTCCCTTTATCCGCTTTTCTTTTGTAGCGATGGGGGTAAGAGAATGAGAGAACAAGGAGGAGAAAGACAAGGAGCGAAGGAAGAGGGATGGGATGACACGAGAGAAATAAATTATTTTTTTTCCTCCCTCAAGTTTCGGTTTTATTTCGTTTTCAGGGTTTCCATTGCATTTTCTCTTTGGTCATTTACGAACTAGGACAAATCAGGTCAAGGAATTATGAAGGGCAAGACTCATCCAGGTTTCTATGTTGTCTGTAGTAACAACGGATTGTGGCAGTAGGAAATACAACACTATTAGAAAGGGTTCTTGACTGTGGTATTACAGGAGGTATCTGCAGTAGCTCTGTGTGGTTGAAATAGAATGGTAGGAGAGGTGTATCCTAATTGGAATAACTTTAATGAATGTCTATATGGACTGACACAAAAGCAGACACACTGACTTTGATTGTAGACACCTCACTGATGCAATCTAAAAGCACTACACAAGCCAAGTATTCACACTTGCTCACTCACACATACACATATACCCATACAGACAGACATGCATATACACACACAAGCATGCACACATACAAGCTCACACACTCAATTTGAAGTTAGGCATCAAGCACCTTCAGCAATTCAGACCATTTATATTTTGAATGATTATAGTGAGTGTTATTTATGGACGTGTTTTCCTTTTCTCATACCATGCTCTAGGCTATTAGATAGCTGACACAATCTAGATTGATACTTTTTTCTTTTTTCACATTCTTACTGTTCTGACTTTCTTTTGTCTTTCTGCAGGCTGACACAATGTCATTAAAGCCTCGTGCGGTGAATTTTGAAGAGGTTTGGGGGGACCTGGTGGAGACAGTGCAGCAGGTGGTGACCATGGGCTCAATCAAGAGGAGCGTCTGGAACACCAGATTCTCTGATGTGTACTCCCTGTGTGTGGCGTTTCCAGAGCCCCTCGCCGAGAGGCTTTATACAGAGACAAAAAAACTACTGGAGAATCATGTCAGGCAGCTTTATTTTGAGGTAAGATGGGAGTATGTTTTAAGCTGGCAGCATATGCAGCTTGTTGTTAGGTTACCCATTCTTTATTTTCCAGGTCATGTGATGTATATCATGCTGGCAAGTCTCATTCAAGTGGAATTTATGAGCCAAGTTATTTTGATAAATGTGATTGGCATCCCAAAGATTAGTACAGAAACCAGGACAGAGCAGGACATATTTGTATCTTTCACGAGGTGCATCACTAGACCTTGTCTCGGCTCTCTCTTGCTGATTAGATGTAGCAGAGATTTTTAGATACCTTATAGTATAACCCCAACAATTTCCAATTATAATGAATGCCCTCCCCACCAATCAAGTTTTGTATGGTCACTACTGTTGTAGGTTGATCTTTGAATTATTGATGCATGGTAATATGAACGGCAGTGCCACAAATAAAGGTAAAGATAAAAGATCATGGAAAGTGCTACTCACAACCAAAGTCCACGCAGTCCTCTTGAGTTTCAGCTCTATCTTGCCGTGTATACTGAGGTGAAGACAGTGATTACCGGAGAGGGGGCAGAGCCCTCCATCAACCCTCCTTTTCAGCAATTTCCCATTCACCACAGTTTAGACTGTTCCATAAAGTTTGAGACATGGAGTTGAGGACCTAGTCTCTGGCGAGTGTGCCTGTACTGTGAAGAATCACGATGTTGCATAATGCAGACTAAAACCATTATAATGCATACCAGATGTACAAGTAAACCATCACTATAAAAAAAAATGGATTTCAGGATGCAGAATGGAACCAGAGAATTACTTCCTTGCCACACTTTGATAATACTAAATACATCCTTCTTTGCAAGATTTGAGGGTTATGCCATTCTTCTTCTTTTTTAAAACCTTAATTAAGCGGAAGGTATTTCTACAACATTATTTTCCTAGGCACCGATCTTCTCTGATGGGGCTTGATTTTGGACACTGATTGCCAACTGCCACCAGGCATTTGTAAAGCTATTTTAATGAAGTTTGTTCTAGTCAGTTGTGCAGTTACATAGCCCTGTTGGTGACCAATTATTCCACCTAACATCTCACTATCCAAGATGATTCATTCAAAAAATCTAAAAGCATTAGCTACTAAAACTCTACATATATTACATAGTATTCAAGTGATAATGGAAAGATAACATTTTGTTCAAGCATTCTTTTAATTGCAGTTGCAAAAATCAGTCTTGAATAAAAAGTTATATAAACATTTTTCAAATCTTGTTCTCCTTATTATCATACTAATTTTATTACTGTAACCTCTCTATTACCTTTCATAATGAGTGAATATAATGGTGTGAGGAAAAAATATGCAGGACCGCAATTGCAGATGATGAAATGTCATGCTTGATGTTTCAAACTGTATGATACTTATTTGGAAAGAGACAGCCTACTGAAATATCCAAATGGAATAGATGAGAAGTGGATGCAACTTTGCTACACTTTGTAACTATGAGCAGGATACGAAATAATCTTAGTTTGTTAACATCAACCATATCTATAGCATAAATTGGAGAACTGATCTGGATTTTTTTTTTGTCTAACAAACCCATTGCATTTATTTTAAAAGGTGGAGGAGCAGAGTGAGGAGAACCTTCTTGCAGAATATCATCGTTTTTGGATTCAGTTCAGCAAAGGCACACAGTACCTTAACCACTTGTATTCGTAAGTACATGGGAATTGCTTTGTGACAGTATTAAACATTTAAAAGACACCTGTGGGTCCATCCTTAGTTCTGCACAGATCAGTAGAGCCTCCGTGCCTTTTGGTAGAAATACAAGCTCTGTCTTGCCAGAATATATATGGTGGAGTCTAAGTGGGCTTTTGTGAAAGTGTGAAGTACAATATGGCAATCACTTGAATTCAGGTTATAAACATTCCGTCACCAATCATAGTAAGTTTCAAGTAGACTTTGATAGAATAACTATTTTTTTGTTATTTCATTATTGTTATAATCATAATTGGTCTTAGATATAAAGTATACTAAAAATGAGTTGCTTTTGCTGTTGTTGGGAATGTTAATGGTACCCACCATGATGCATATTTCATGAAATATAATGCCTTTCATATTTGGGTTGATAGTGATTATAGGTACTAGTGTAGGCCTGCTCTTGTGAAGCTCTTGCTACATTATTCACTTATCATTTTGGTGATGAAATTACTTCATACTATATATGCAGTGCTTTATGTCTACATAGCACCTTTGATTTAAATCTAGAGTCTGTAGTGACAGTAATAACATTTCGTACAGATTACTGGTTATTTTTGTGTACTCCACAGATACTTAAATTCGCAACACATCCAGAAGCAGAAGTTTAGTGATGCAGACCTTACATATGGTTCAATGCAGATGGACATGTCAGAACAGCTACTAGAAATTGGTAAATATTGGTGACTTCTTATATATTTTCTTAGCTAGGTGTTTTGAAGTGAGAATTTCTTTTATATATTTTCTAGGCCAGGTGTTTTGAAGTGGCAGTTTCTTTGCCTGTTACCTTTCTTATAATATGTAAAGTAGAGTACATTTTTGTTGTGTGAAGGATTAATTTTATGATTAATGATATTAATATTATTAGAAAAATATTTCTACCTACACTAATAGTAAATTGTTAGTTATAATAGAAATCTTTGTAAATAATTTGCTGTATCATCCATGACGTTATATTATTTTAGATATATTACTTTATATTAAAGAGTATATTTGGTATAATAATTCATATTTTTTAAAGTATATTGATGTTGTAACTGTAATTATTTGAAACCCATTCATCCATTTACGTGCCCACAAAAACATGCAATCTCTCCAAGAAATACACCTATCCATTCCACGACACAAGCATATACAATTAATTTCAACGATCCCCCACCCCCATTGCTCCCTTAAGACCTCCCTTCATCCCTTTGCCTCTGCTTCCTTAGGGGAGCTTGGTCTGGAGATTTGGCAGCGGGAGATGATCCGGCCGCTGCAAAAGCGCTTGGTGGGCGTCTTGCTCATGGGAATCCAACAGGATCGGACAGCAACCGCCACTGATGCCCCAACCTCAACCATCCGTGGGGTCATCCACTCATTTGTTGATGTTAATATGTATAAAAAGAAGTCTA